AAACAAAAAAATGGCTGCCCCTTTAAACCTGACGTGCCTCTTTGAATTTTTTTGTCCCTGTTCTGCTTTTCGGCGGGCCATCAGGAGTGCCCTTTTTTGCGTCCGCTTTTCGGGGTTTTTTGCAGGTTTGCGGGCGGTTTTCCCCCCTTCCTTCTCCCCTTGTCCCCCCCCCCCCCTCCCCCCATCGTTTTCTTTTTCGTCCTCGGTTTAGCTTTCGCGCGGCTGAATCTACGAACCACAAAAGAAAAAACACCAAAAACCGGCCAGCTACGCAGAGATTAGACAGAAAATGAGGCAAAGGAAGGAAACATGCGTCTTCTTTCCCCTTGCGTGTCTCCGGCTCGCGCGGCCCGCTTGTTCTTTGCAAAGCGCCTGGGGCCCGTTTCTCGAAAGTCCCGATAATTAACGGGCCCGTAAAGCTGTCGTTGTTTACATGCAAGATAGAGGTTTCAATAGTTTTGCATCTAACATGATAAAATTATCAGTTAATGAAACAAAATGGAGCAGTTAACTGGCCAGGACCCGCGCTCTTATTCTTGATATTTCGATTTGAAAATTTGATTTCGGGCCCGAATTGTTACCGGGACTTTCGAGAAACGGGCCCCTGATCTGTACACAGGCTAGCTCGCAGCCTATGACAATCACAAAACAGATGAGAATAAAAACACTGCTTCTCATCTTTTCGTGTAGAAAATCGTAGGCGGACGATTCGTCAGTGTTTAAAAACATCTAATAATATGAAGGTGCCCATCTTACAAAAAATATATAACCTGATCTTATATGAAGAAAAAAAAAAAACTTGGAGTATGCGTGCACATATGAATCAATGATAATATACAGGCCGGTAACGCCATATCATATTTCCGGTAAATCAGTCACAAGCTTTTGTGTCACCGACATTTGTTTTAGCCGGCTGCAATGAAAAAGTCCAAAGCTGTTTGATATTCATCTGAAGCGACTGTCTTTTTTATGGGAAGTTATGGGAGGAAATAATGAACTGATTGAATCGATCGATTAACATTTCACTTGGTAGCTATTTTGAACGGTATGATCTTGAAACGTGCTCTATTCCAAGAATGCTCAGTTGTTCACCCTTCCTAAGTCGATTTCAAAGCGTTTAACGCTATTCTTGAACAGGATTTGTAGAACAGTTGTAAAAGATTTGTACGGCATGTTATTTTAATACGCTCAAAAAGCGCAAAGCAAGGACGACGGAGGTTTGGCCGTGCACGTGTTAACATGTGATCCACGGGCGGATCTAGGGGGAGGGTGCAGGGGGTGCGCACCCCCCCTGAAATGACCTGCGGTTTTCTAATACAACTGGTATTCTGCCCCCAAAAAATAAAATATGTGGTTTATTGGTGTTGAAGTAGAGCAAGAGACGAGTGCACCCCCTCCTAAAAAAAATCCTGGATCCGCCCCTGTGATCCGGAGGCCGTGTTAAGCAAACAAAGATACTTACGATCTTTTATT